GAAGAGATTTGGGAGCACAAGCAGGAGCGGCCCTAGACGAGCTGCCGGCAACCGGCGCCCCCACCTCCGAAGCCCTCAGCGGCCGTTTATCTTGGCGCCCTCAGCGACCGCCTAGTTCGCCTGTATTGACGGGACGCCACTGAGTACAAGCATGAGGGAGCTAGGTCTGGGGGTGTTCTAGAGGCAGGGAGCTACGGGGAGGTCCTGGGGTAGCTTGCCATGAAAGCCCCTGTCCCTGACTGGAGGTAGGAACAGGGTTATTGGGGCTCTGTCTGCAGTGGACAAACACCTCCTTTATGATGGAGCCCTGTAGATACCTGAAACGCTCCACCCCAGAGGCAACTGCATTTCAGCCCCAGGGTGCCTGAACCCCCAGCCCCCGCCAGGAGGAGATGGGGAGCCCCAGGGGCAGCATGGGAGGGAGTGGTGAGAAGGAGGGGGCAGGGGTGCTGAGGAAGGGAGGGGTGTGGAGAGGCCTGGGCAGGATGCAGGTCACCTTAAGAATGACCCCACTGGGTCAGACCAAAGGTCCTTCTAGCCCAGCGTCCTGTCTTCCAACAGTGGCTAGTGCCAGCGCTTCCAGCCCCATGCATAGGTTCTCCCCCCCCCCCCCCCCCCCCCCCCGGGGGGGGGGGGGGGCAGGGACCTCAGCCCTAGGGTTGCCAGATGTTCGGTTTTCACCCAGACTGTCCATTATTCGGGGGCCCGTCTGGTAAAAAAAGGAAGTACCAGGCACATGGAATGTCTGCTATTTCCTGTTTCCCTTGGACAGAAGCCCAGCGGGGACAGTTCTGGGGGGGGCAGGATCATTTAAAGGTGCAACCCCCTTTCCCCCCCCCAACAACTTTGGTCTCCCCCTTTTTTTTCCCCTTCAACTGAATTATGTCCCTGATATTTCCCTGGGGTGGGTGGGAGTTTCGGTACTTTTGGTTAAACCATCTGGCAACCCTAGCTGCTCCCCCGCCTAGAACTGAGAGGGTGTGGGAGGAGGGGGCCAGATGGAAGAGCACTGGGAGGGCAGGAAGTTAATGGGGAGCATGGGGGAGGGGCAGCAGGGACAGTGGGGGATGGAGCAGGGGGAAAATGAGCACTGGTCAGGAGGGGGCAATGAGAGGACACTGGGCACAAAAGGTAAATGACTGGAGATGCCTATCTATCTCCTGGAGCTGGAAGGGACCTTGAAGGGTCACTGAGTCCAGTCCCCTGCCCTCACAGCAGGACCAAGTACCATCCCTGACAGATTTTTGCCCCACATGGCCCCCTCAAGGAGTGAATCCACAACCCTGGGTTTAGCAGGCCAATGCTCAAACCACTGAGCTTTCCCTCCCCCCCAGGGCCTGCCACACTCCCCCCTTTCCTGACACATCCTCTTCCCACAGATCGGTTCAGTCACTGGCAGGTCCAGCACGGCGGCAATGGCTGGCGGTCGAGGGGGCCCCGGCCCAGACCTGCTTCGTCTCGTCCTTCCAGTGAGTGGGAGCCCTCTGCCTTCCTGTTTGCCCCCAGGTGCCCTTGTGCTGCTGAGCTCTGCCTGCGCTTCAAAGGCCAGTCCGGTCCTGCTCCCGCACAGACGTGGAGTCACTCTGGATTGATCCAGCCTAAGTGAGACCCAGAGATGCCACCTGCCCTGGTCACACACACACGTACACACTGATAAACCTGGACTAGCTCTGGATTTAGGCAGGCACCACACGACAGGCCGGGCCAGTACAGATCCATCGGTCTGGCGGTGTGAAGCGAGCGGTGCTAGCAGAAGCCCCCAGAGTGGGCGGGTGGCCTAATTCTACCAGGACAGCATGCGACGGTGCCAACATAGCCGCCTCCAACGCTGGGAGCAATTTGCTGGCAGAGTATGCTGGATTCTTATACTGGCAAAGGGTTCCAGCTGGGGGCGTGGTCTAAGTAAATCTGGAGTCACTCTGGATTTGTGGGCCTTGACTCTCTGCTGCTCTTGTGTCATGACACACTGACGGTATTGCCCCAGCGGTCAGGCAGGGGGAACTGGGAATGGTGTCCCTCTCGGGCCTTCTCTGCACTGCTGATTTGCCCTGATTTCCAGCTGCCCCAGCCAACTCCAGAACATGGTTCACTGTGGGAGAGCTGACCGTGTAGGTTCAAATCATGCCTTATGGCAGCTTTGCCTGTCTCCAGAGGGGGCTGTACTGGGGGAGTGCCCAGGGTTTCAAACTCTGACCTCAGTTCCTCGCTCTGCTGCGTGACTCTGAACAGCCCACTTCTCTGTGCCTCAGTTTCCCCTTCCACCCTTTGTCCACCCTGTCTGCGCTGTGACTTCTTTGGGGCTGTGACTCTCATTTCCTAGAGTTCATAGTGCCCTGCCAACACACTAAAACCTCAACTGGCTTTTAACACTTGTCTGCTCAGACCCTTTTCTTCCCCTGGTGTTTGCAGGATCTGTGCCACACACAATGCAGAGTGGGCCTGGTCACAGGTAGGTGCTATTGCCCTACCTCATCAGGGTTTCCTTTTCCCCTCTGTAGGTGGTGCGAGAAATCGCAGCTTGTAGATCTTCTGAAGGAAGGATTGTGGGCAGAACTGCTGGATACCTACCAGCCAGAAATCTACATCTCTGATTGGTAAGTTTCAGCCTCCTCTCCCTGGCACATGCAGCTTTAATGGTGACCTACAGAAAGAAATGGGTCTGTGTCTTTGCTGCAGCTTTCCCAGCCAAAAATAAAACCTCAGCTGTTTCCTGTGTTTCTGGTTATAGAAGCCACCTGTGCCCCAAAATCAAAGGCTTTGGGTTTGTTTTATTTAGGCCTTAAAAATAGCAAGCCTGTCGAACCTTGCTTCATCTGTTTGTTTTACTGGAGGTCCCCTTGGAGGACCCAGAGATGTGAGCTGGGAGACGCCTGTGCCCTTATTCCAGGGGTGGGGGGTTGCACTTGTAACTGGGAGTTTCTCCCGCCCAGCTATCGGTCAGGGGCTGACGTGGGATGCACGTCAATAAGGTGGCAGGACTTTGTTGGCGTGCTGGCTAGCGTAGCAGAGGGGCTTCCCTGAAGTTGCTGGCAGATGAGCCTAGCAGAAGGGGATGTTGCAGAGGTTGGTGCCATCCGCTGACTGATGGGGACCAAAAAGCTGTGGTTGGATTTGGGTGTGTACTTGCCCAGGATTCCTGTTCTGTGATAGGTTTTAAGGGTCATGTTCCATCTCCCTGCTGCTGCCCCCCAAGGTTCCTGGTTTCCCAACATCCGCTCCTGTCCCGCAGGTGGGGCGCCCGGGAAGACTGTGGCTGTAAATACTCCCTCTGCGTGAAGCTCCTGGCTGCCAACCAAAGAACTGTCATTGCTGAGTTCCAGGCCAGCCCCGACCCCATACCACAGTGGAATGACCAGCAGTATCAGCAGGTGAGCCAGCTGTCCGGGGACATTCCAGGGCCACCAGAGTTCTAGAACTGGCTCAGCCAGTGGGTTGGCTTTGGTCAAGTCACTTCCCTTCCCCGTGCCTCAGTTTCCCTCTGAAAGGGGCATAATGATATCAGGCTTGGAGAGTCACAACTGAAAGGAGGGAGGAACTGATTATTGATTAGTAGTGCCTGAAAGCCTGGGCTTAACTTAACGTATGTGGCATAACTTGTAAAACTGGGTGTGTTTAAAACAAACAAACACAAAACAGTGCCAAGACTTAAAAATTGTGAATTCCAACCAAAACAAAAAGTCTCTCCCCCCAGCTTGGACCCGTTAACATTGCTACGTGCTGACTCAGCAGCCCCTCTAGGCTTGTAGTGAGACCACCCCAGAATCTTACCACGTAGATTGAAAAGGGGATAAGCCAAGTTTACAAATGGACATTAACGGGCAGAGGGAGCATGCTTCTGGGGTGGAGCAGAGTGGTGCGCCCGCAGGGAAATGAGAATGTCAGTGCCTGTGGTCCAGAGATCATTTTGTGTTCCCTTTCCTTCCCTCCCAGGTGTCCCACAGGTTCAGTCAGTATGGCACTGGAGTCCGGTATGTGCATTTCTTCCACAGAGGGACAGACACTCAGTTCTGGGCAGGACACTATGGTGCCCGGATCACCAACTCCATGGTCATGGTGAAGCTCCGATGAGAACCAGGAGTGCCGCTCCATAAATCTCTCTCTCAAACCGCCTGCCTCTGTGAGCTCCTCTCCCATCCTAGAACGAATAGCAGGGATCCATCTCCTGGACATTGACACGCCCCTTTACCTGAGGAGCTTTTCTGGTCCTGTGCAGGACAGGCGGGAGCCTGGGTGAATCTTTAGCTTCCTAGCAGCTGATTTCAGTCAGTGTAAACCTGCCCACACATGACAGAAACAAGAAGACTTTAAAGTGCCTCTGTGAGCTCCTCTCCCATCCTAGAACGAATAGCAGGGATCCATCTCCTGGACATTGACACGCCCCTTTACCTGAGGAGCTTTTCTGGTCCTGTGCAGGACAGGCGGGAGCCTGGGTGAATCTTTAGCTTCCTAGCAGCTGATTTCAGTCAGTGTAAACCTGCCCACACATGACAGAAACAAGAAGACTTTAAAGATGGAAAATATTGAGCTTGTGCCACTGTTTGGAAGGCTTTGGGATTATTGGCAGAGCACAAAAGGGTAAACACCCCTGCAGGGCCAGTGCGCAAGGTGCGGGGCAGGCGATGCAGCTGTGCTAGGCTGTGAGCTAGACACTGTGCCCCAGGCAGGGCTGGGGGGTGCCCCAGACGCCCCTGCAGGGCCAGTGCGTGAGGTATGGGGGAGGTGATGCAGCTGTGCTAGGTTGTGAGCTGGGCGCGGCATCTGGGCAGGGCTGGGGGGTGCCCCGGTTAGGGCAGGGCTGGGGGGTGCCCCAGACGCCCCTGGGGGGCCAGTGCGCAAGGTGCGGGGG